CGGAAAAATTCTGAGGAAAGCAATTTGGGTTTTGATTCCCAATTTGCTAGCAATTCTAATTTAGAAAAGGAGGACGTCATGGCTGGAAATCAAACTTTGAAAGAGCTTGCTGCCCCTAATTTGAATCAAGCACCTTTATGCATAACGTTTCCTATTTTAGATGCTGCTACTACTTTTGAATTGAAATCTGGACTACTACATCTCTTGCCCACTTTTCATGGCCTTGCAGGTGAATATCCTCACAAGCATTTGAGAATTTGCTAGACACTCTTCGTGGGAATGATTCTGACTCACACTACTACATGTGTTTTTTAGGTTTTAATTCTAGGTGCCTATGACAGCACACCACCCTTGACATTTTGGTGGCTTGGTTTTGAGATAGCTGTTTATCTCATAAACAGAATGCCTACTGCCACACTTCATAACATTTCACCCTATCAAGCATTATTTCATCAAGTTCTTGTTTATGATAGCTTAAGAGTTTTTGGATGTTCTTGTTTTCCTTACCTTAGGAGCTTTAACAAGCACAAGTTTGATTTCCATATGGTCAAGTGTACTTTTGTAGGCTACAGCCTAATCCACAAAAGGGTATAAGTGTTTAAAATCAGATGGACAGATTGTCATTACTCCTAATGTTCGATTTAACAAATTTGAGTTTCCCTTTGCCCTCACTACTCTAAGCTCTTCACCTCAAACTCAGTCATGCACTCTAGACACTCAAACCACAACAGTTTCATTTTTTCCTCCTGTGGTTACTTCCAATTCTCTTCAACCATCAACTGGCATAGCTTCACCTACTATCCCTTGCTCCATGGACAAGTACTGCATAGCTCATGCAACAAATGGTAAGAATTCTTCTCCTAACCATATGGTATCCACTGATACCATTCAACAAAATTTTCCCTATACCACTAACCCAAATACTACAACAAACACTACAACATCATCTTTACAACCTTGTCAACTTATAGTTGATCTCACATCTTCCCAATTTCCTAACACAACAACTACCTCTTCTTGTACCAAAACTCATGTTCAATTCTTAGATAATCAAACCAGTATTCTTTCTCCCATTACCACTCCAAATACTGACACTAAACATAAATCTTTTTCACCTAACTACACATCCATCTCACCATGTCCAAATCAACCTATAAACATTGAGACCTTATCTCTGTCAACTTGTCAACTTGTGGTTGATCTTATTGCTTCTCAATTCCCTGATATAGTAGGTGTTTTGAATCACAACAGTTCACATGATCAGTTCCCAATCAATACAAATGTTTTGGATAATTCAACTCTTGACAAATCCTATGCATCTTTTGTTGTTTCTCATGTTGCTCCAACATCTACAAACAGGCATCTCATGGTTACAAGAGCTAAATCAGCTACTTGATTATAGTTGGCAACTTCTAATCAAGATTATATTCGTCTTGCTTACTTAGTTGATGGGTCTGCTGCTCCTGAACAAAAACTTAAGTCAGTTTCTGATACACTTAATGGGTTTAAAGCTCCTGAACCAAAATTCAAGTCAGTTTCTGATACACTTAGCAGTCGGTTACAGTTGGTAACTCCCAATCTAGATGACATTCATCTAGCTTACTTAGTTGATGGGTCTGAAGCTCCTAAACCAGAACCCAAGTCAGTTTCTGATGCACTTAGTAATAGCAATTGAAAGGCTGCTATGCAAAGCGAGTTTGATGCTCTTATTCACAACAATACTTGGACTCTTGTACCCTCATCTCCAAATATGAATGTTGTGGGAAATAAATGGTGTTTCATGCAAAATTCAATGCTGATAGTTCTCTTCAAAAGTACAAAGCTAGATTGGTTGCCAAGGGTTTCCAACAAACCCCTAGCCTTGATTACTTTGAGACATTTAGTCCAGTGATCAAACCATCAACTATACAAATTATTCTAACCATTGCAGTTACAAATGGCTGGGATATTCAACAGATTGACATCAATAATGCATTTTTAAATGGGGTACTAACAAAAAATGTCTTTATGTAGTAGTCTCCAGGCTTTGAAGATCAATCCTTTCCAAAGGTTGTTTGTAAGTTAAATAAGGCCTTACATGGTCTTAAGCAGGCTCCTAAAGCATGGTTTGAAAAGTTAAAAACTGCTCTTCAGCAAAAAGGGTTCCAAAACTCTGTTTCAGACTCAAGTCCCTTCACTCTTCAGCAAGCTTCAGGTTTTACCTATGTACTTGTATATGTTGACGACATACTAATCATTGGTTCAGATGCAATCTTTATCACTCAGTTGATGAAAGATCTAAACAATGACTTTGCTTTAAAGACCCTTGGGTCACTTAAATACTTTCTCGGTTTGGAAGCAATTAGGACATCTGCTAGTCTTCATCTAAAGCAGTCCAATTATGCTGCTGATCTTCTTATTAAAACCAAGATGATGGAAGCACATGGTTCCTCTACTACCATGAATGTTGGGATAAAATTGAGTTCAATCGATAGTGAACTATTTCATAATCCTAGTTTATACAGGAGTACGATTGGTGCATTACAATATTTAACCCTTGCAAGACCTGATCTAATTTTCACTGTGAATAAGCTGAGTCAATTTTTACAAGCCCCTACTGAACTCCATTGGCAAGCTTACAAGAGGGTGCTACGGTATATTAAAGCTATTATCCACTATGGCTTATTTTTCAAACCAGCAAAGGCATTACATATTGAATTCTATGCTGATGCTAATTGGGGTGGAAATCTTGAATATCGGAGATCAACTAGTAGTTATTGTGTTTATCTATGACCAAATTTGATTCAATGGAGTTCTAAAAAATAGAAAGTTGTTGCTCTTTCCTCCACTAAAGCTGAATATAGAACCCTAGTTCACACAACAACAGACGTAGCTAGATTGGAGAGTTTGTTTACTGAATTAGGCTTGGTTCTTCACACTACCCCAGTCATTTGGTGTGATAATGTTAGTGCTGGAGCTCATCTAATCTTGTGTTTCACGCCAGGACTAAACACATTGAAATTGATGCTCATTACATTACGGAGCAAGTTTTAACCAAACAGGTGGCCATTCAATATGTTCTTTCTAAGTTACAAATAACTGATGTTCTCACAAAGGCTTAATTAGTTGGTCAATTGTCAGTGTTGGAGCTCTTGCATCTAATCCTATGTTTCATGCCAGGACTAAACACATTGAAATTGACACTCATTACATTACGGATCAAGTTTTAGCCAAAAAGGTGGTCATTCAATATGTTCCTTCTAAGTTACAAATAGCTGATGTTCTCACAAAGGCTTTATCAGTTGGTCAATCACTGATCTAAGGGGAAAGTTGAATGTCACTATACTTGGTAAAGACTGCAGCTAGGAAGATTTTTTTTTTTTTTTTTTTTTTTTTTTTGTATGCAGTTACAATTGAGGGAGCATATTGAAGTACAAGAAGGATGGAAGAAAGTTGTATGCAGTGTTGTGCTGTTGAAGTTTTATGCAGTGTTGTGTTGATGTAAATCTTATGCAGTGCTGTGCTGTTGAAGTTTTATGCAGTGCTGTGTGATGTAAATCTTATGCAGTGTTGTGCTGTTGAAGTTTATGCAATGTTGTGCTATTGTAAATCTTATGCAGTGCTGTGCTGTTGTAGCTTTATGCAATGCTGTTGAAGATTTTCTGCAGTTATGTTGTTGAAGCTTATTTTGCAGTTGTGTTATTAAGCTTTATTTTGCAGTTGTGTTGTTGAAGCTTTATGCAGTGCAGTTGAAGGTTTTCTGCAGTTATGTTTGAGGGAGCATATTGAAGTACAGAAGGATGGAAGCAAAGATGCTAAAGTGTGGAAGAAAAGTTGTTGAAGAAAAGTTGTTGAAGTTTAATGCAGTGTTGAAATTTTATGCAGTCACATTTGAGGGAGCATGTTGACTATAAAGTAAAAGTCAAAATCTTATATTGCCTAATACGCTGCCATTTCTTGTGTAACTGACTACTGTTAAATCAGTTAGTACAACAGCTTAATATAAAAGTTGTAATCTCTACTTTACTGATTAAGGATTAATACAGTAAACACATTCTCTTCTTCCTCTTTGATACTCTCTGTTTTTGCACCCTATTTTGTTTTCCTTTCAAAGACAACCTCATCTCCTACTCATAGATATATCAAACAATCACCTGGTCAAGGCATTTTATTTTCCTAAAACAACAAGGTTCAACTAAATGGATCTTGTGATTTTGATTGGGCGAATTGTCAAGAAACACGTCGCTATGTTACTGGTTATTGTGTCATTTTGTTTATGATCTACACCACAACCACATGCAACATATAAATTCTGAATCTTTTATTGGTTATTAAAAAGACGAATTGGGTTAGAAAAAAATTTTTATGCATATAATATTTTTTTTCTGAATGGTCGATCAAGCAAACAACTAGCATGACAACGCTCTACCTTTGTCCTTGGTTTAAAAATAGAAAGTAAATATATTATTCAATAGGGTACCATGTAGCCAAATACCATTCAAGCAAATATTCACCTAAATAAAAATAAAAAATCACAAGAAAAACTCTTAACTTTCTTCAAATAATAACAACTCTATGCATAGATTAATCTATGAACATGTTATATATCCAATAAAGAGAGAGTATGAAGTGTAGAGGTTTTCTATTATCAACAAAGGTCAACACTGTGAACTTCACTCACTACTCTAGGTCATGTTGCTTTAGTCAAATGATATTTAAAACAAGAAAATGGTTAATAATACATTAGCTGGCTGATATAGTGGATATTAAAGAGGAGACCACCACCATACATTAAAATGTTTTTATGTAAGCAATGAAGAAAAAATTTTACTTAATTGGCAATCATATTTGGTAGTTAAAGAATGACTCATATAGTGCAAATTTTAAAAAAGATAGCCACTGAAGACTTGCCAAGTCTCCGTTATCATTTTTTATTTGGGAAAACTCTCAAGACTAGTTCAATGGATTCCGCCTATAAATAGGTTAGCCTGTCTTACAACCTTTCTCGTGCCTCAGCAAGAAGATACTAATTGAAGAATACAGATTAGAGTCTAATTATCATAATGAAAGGTTTCCTTTTGGCTTTTGTCCTCTTGGCTTTGACTTCCTCTTTTGCCTCCGCTTTTGACCCCAGTCCTCTTCAGGACTTCTGTGTTGCGGTTGATGATCCCTTGAATGGTGGTATGTACTTACTACTCAATTCTCCTTTCTGTATTTAGGAATTAATTCTTATTTTTATGTAGCATGTTTTAATTACAAATTACATCCGTAGACATTAAATTGGTTGTATGATGTAGTATTTGTGAATGGGAAGTTCTGCAAGGACCCCAATCTCGCCGAAGCAGACGATTTCTCCTCTTCAGTTAAATTGCCTGGAGACACAAACAACCCAGTTGGTTCATATGTCACAGCTGTGAATGTAGATGAAATTCGAGGACTTAACACTCTTGGCATATCAGCTGCCCGTATCGACTTTGCACCTTATGGCCAAAATCCACCTCACACTCACCCTCGAGCCATTGAGATTCTTGTTGTCCTACAGGGTACTATTCTTGTTGGTTTCGTCACTTCCAATCCCAACAACACACATATCACAAAAGTTCTAAACAAGGGCGATGTGTTTGCTTTCCCCATTGGTCTCATTCACTTCCAATTCAATGTCGGAAAAACAAATGCGATCGCCTTTGCTGGTTTAAGCAGTCACAATCCTGGTGTTATTACTGTAGCCAATGTAGTATTTGGATCAGATCCTCTCATTGAACCAAATTTCCTAGCAAGAGCCTTCCAGTTGCAAGGTTTGCCTTAATGATACTTTCCACCCAAAATGTTTCAAAATATCACTTTCTTACCCAAAGTTAATATTCTGTTATTACCCAAAGCCGATTCTAACGATGAAAATTCTCTTTATCACCACCATTTGAGCCATTGATCTCCTCTCTATGAAATCCCTCTTACTCCGACACCTGATTTCTCGTCAATTGTTGGCCATCACAAAAATAGGGTTTCTTATTCTTAGCTAATTTCTGTCTGATTCTGCCAGCGAATATTCAATCAGTCACCACCATTTGATCTACCAGCCTCCGTTCTACAAAAACACGTCGGCTGAGAAAGTGAAGTGTATTTTAGGCATTAACAGAATATAAATGTTGGATGGGAAAGTTGTATTTTGAAACTTTTAGGTGTGAAAGTGTCATTAAGGCAAACCTTGGGTGAGAAAAGGTCGTTCACTTTATAATTAACAATAAAAGATAAAAATTTAATTATAAATATTTTCATTAATATATTTATGAAAGCATTTTTGTCAAATTATGAATTCAGTGTGGCAACACTGGTTTTTTATGTCGTGACATCTTTTTGTTAATGCACAATCGTTTTATGTTTTTCTGGTGTCACCACACTCATTGTCTGTGTGATGACACGAGCCCAGCCAGATATTTATGTACACATGTTGTGTCCCCATTAGTTTCTAGGATATTATCTTTGTCTAAGATTTGTGTAAGTGGTCTGTGTACACTTGACTTTAGCCTATATGGTGTACTGGAAAATTCGTTTTGCTTTGTGTGTGGTCCCAAGAAAGTTTCGTGAAAACTTTCCCAAAATGGCAAAACACAAAAGCAACATGTTGGTTGATTGTCCCCTTGCATTGGTGCACAAGTTTTCTATATATTCTCTTTACCAGTGCATTTCATTTTAAGCCTAAATATACCTTTGATAATCTGCATATTCCTTGAGGTTTCCTTTGTTTTCATTCGGGTTTCATATGCTCAGGTAGGCTTACTAATACCTTTGTTAATCCTTGTTTTGTTCATGGCTGGAATGTCATTCCATGTTGATGCTTGATGGAGTTTCAAGCTTTTGGGGCCAAAGTGCATCTTCAGTGTTGAACCTTGAGAGGAGCTCAAGGCCAACCAGGTGGTCTCGCGTGTGAAGCCAGCTATGGTGGCTTGAGGTTCAACCAAAGAGTGAAGATTGAAGTGTTGTCATAAACATGGAGTGTTTTGCAACTTGTGCTTATCTTTAGCTTTGTATTTGAACACTAAAAGTTTATCATAATGGATTAGCTTCGTTTGGACTTGGTCCCATGGATATAGGCAAGTTGCTGAACCATGTATAAATGTGTTGTGTGCTTTACTTTTTGCCATGGTTGATTTGTTTATGTTGATGATGATCAAACCAACACATAAGCACAAAATAAACAAGTTAACTCATTCCGCTTAAGTTTAATCAACTTGTAAAGTGATAAAACTTTCACTTTATTTATTGATTCAGAATATAATAATCACCTACCCCCCCTTGTTTAACTTTTCAACCCTATTCTATTCTACTATCCTATCCTAAAACATGAAAAAACGTGTTTGTTTTAATATTGCTCAAAATCAAATCATATTCTATTCAACTCAAAACATTTAACAATTACCTTTCTCAATAAAAGTATAAATTAACAAAAACACCTCTACCCACCCAAGTAATAGTCGCCGATCGCCAACAACCATCGTCAACCGCTGGTCGCTGGCGCTAGAACAACACACGATTAGCCGAATCTAGCCGACCGTGTACCGATCTATCCGTTTTCGACTAGATCTACAGCGAAAGATCTGGTTGTTAATGACCGGCCATATTTTGGCTTCAAATCTGGTAGTCAACGACAACCATATTTTGGTCGTCGTTTGGCCATAGATCTGGCTGAAAACGGCTAGATTAATGCACAACCAACCAGATCCAACCGGTCATATGCCATTCTGACAACTTCTTACCACCGTTCGACGGTGGTGGCCGGCTCCCTACAATCAGTTGGGTGGGTGGGTGGGGGTGTTTTTGTTAATTTATAAACTTATATTGTGGGGGTGTTTAGCTAAATTAACAAATATAGGGGGTTAAAAATGTGCCAAACACATTCTTAGAATCCTATCCTAGTTGATTAACTCATACCATATCATATTCATAATAGAATATTATTCCAAAAAGTGTACCAAACGAAGCATAGCTATTCCTATTGTAACAACTCCGTTTATTTTATTGAGTTTGTAGGATAGCAAAATATAGGAAATAACTGGGTGACATGAACAGTTTACCATATCTTGTGGGGTCTCATTAGTTGTTAATGTCAAATAATGAGTCTATGTTTCCATTCAAAGAAACAAAAAATTGGGTTGATCTTAAAGCAGTGCTTTAATTATAATTGTAAATAATAATGACCATTGATCAGTTTCTATCTCAGATAAAGTCATCATTACGAAGGCTTTTTAGATGTGAAAGAGTTGGAATAGGTTCTTACTTGTTAGAGATATTTTATTGACTTGGTTCCTGAACTTGGTAAACTCAATTGCTTGGAAGAAACCCTAAGTAGCTAGAGTCAAGCAAGGCGTCAGTACAATCCAAAGTTATTATTGATACAGAAATCTTCACCAACCAGAGAATTCTAATTGACCCTGCCAGAACCGAAATGGATGTGCACGTGATTTAATGAAAATCAGCAATGAATAAAAAAGAAAGAGTCATAAATAAATAAAAAAAGACAATTTTTAAAGTGGTTCAGCAAGTTAGAACTTGAGCCTAGGTCCACTACTGTTTTATTGCTTTTGAGAGATTACAAATAACAATATAATTCATAGGAAAATTTGCTTAGAACAATTGCCCAGCCCCCTTGAAAACAAGTTATGATGGGTTTATATCGCACCCATTTACATGTTAGAGTTGAGGAAAGATTCAAATACATAGGATTAGGAAGTTACACGATCTTTGGCTACCTTGGTTGGAATCTAAGTCAATCTGAATATCTTTTCTCCAAATTGAGCAAATCTAAATATATTATCTCCTAATAAGGAATTATCCTATCTGGATTTCCCACACAATAATAGCCCTCCAATTTTTGGAGTGCGTAATCGCGCTTCAAAAACTCATGTCTTTGATCTAGATGGCTATCGCACTATAGGTTGTAGTCTCGAACTGAAGAGCTTGAATTATGCTTGGCGCAATCTGAGAGATCATGAACACGTAATCTCAAGCGACTAACCGAGCTTTTGAGCTCAATTAGAGAGCATAAAGTGTTCGATCTAAGAACATAAAGAGCTCAATCAGAAAGCATAAAGAGCTTGATCTGAGAGCGTGAGAAGTTTGATTAGAAAGTGTAGAGAGCTTGATCTGAGAGCACAACTCGACCAGAGAGCATGGAGAGCTTGATCTGACAGCATAGCCAAAAACAATGGAGAGTTTGATTTGAGAGTATAGCTTGATCAGAAAGCATGAAGAGCTTGAACTGAGAGCATAGCTCGATCAGAAAGCATGGAGGGATTGATCTGAGAGAATAGCTCAATTAGAAAGCATGGAGAGCTTGATGTGAGAGTATAGCTCGATCAGAAAGCATGGAGAGCTTCATTTGAGATCATAGCTCAATCAAAAAGCATGGAGAGCTTGATCAAAAATCATGGAAAGCTTGATCTGAGAGCATAGCTCAATCAGAAAGCATAGAGAGCTTGATTTGAGAGCATAGCTGGATCAGAAAGCATGAAGAGCTTCATTTGAGAGAATAGCTCGATCATAAAACTTGGAGAGCTTCATCTGAGAGCATAGCTTTATCATAAAGCATGGAGAGCTTGATATGAGAGCATAGCTCAATCAGAAAGCATGGATAGCTTGATCTGAGAGCATAGCTCGATCAAAAAGCAAGGAGAGCTTGATCTAAGAGCATAGCTCGATCAGAAATCATGGAGAGCTTGATCTGAGAGCAGAGCTTGATCAGAAAGAATGAAGAGCTTCATATGAGAGAATAAGTCGATCAGAAAGCTTGGAAAGCTTGATCTAAGAGCGTAGCTCGATCAGAAAGCATGGAGAGCTTGATATGAGAGCGTAGCTCGATCAAAAAGCATGGAAAGCTTGATATGAGAGTGTAGCTTGATCAGAAAGCATGAAGAGCTTGATCTGAGAGCAGAGCTCGATCAGAAAGCATGGAGAGCTTCATGTGAGAGCATAGCTTGATCAGAAAGTATGAAAAGCTTGATCTGAGAGCATAGCTCGATCAGAAAGCATGGAGAGCTTGATCTGAGAGCATAGCTCAATTAGAAAGCATGGAGAGCTTGATCTGAGAGAATAGCTCGATTAGAAAGCATGGAGAGCTTGATATGAGAGAATAGCTCGATTAGAAAGCATGGAGAGCTGGGTGCGCAATCTGAAGCTGAAGATTTGGGTGCGCGATCTGAGAGATCTAGCCGCACGATTTGAAATAGGCTTCAATATCTTGACAATAACTTGAGCTGCAAACCTCGGATTTTGATGATTCTTGAACCGTTGGAAAGCTTACTTGAAGATCTACAACTCTTATGTTTACCACTTTGTCAAACTCATACTTTATAATGCTCAGTACTCCCCATCTGTTAGTGGCTTCGATTTCAAAGTTTGATTTTGTGACATGGATTTAGCCATGGCTGACTTTTTTGTTGTTGGAAGATGGTAAAGAAACTACTAGAAAATAGAGAGAGCTCAAAATGTTCAAGCCCTCCTTTTAGCGCCAAAATCTTAATACATAAACTTGCACCAACCAAATCCGGATTTCTCGCACAACAGTTATATTAATATATTTTACATGGCTTGATTCGGATAAGGTTCCTTTTTTTCTTCTCCCGTTACATAACTAATCAAATTTTAAATTAAATCAAGACATAATTGATTAATTAAAATATAGTATATCAAACTATCAACACAATCCACTTGTCACACATATATTTCTACGCACTATATATAGTCAACCAGCATCCATGAATAATGTTGACATACTATACCAAAAAAAATATTAACAGAAACTTCTATTTT